AGGAAGGAAGAGAGGGAGAGGAACATTGATGTGCGAGAGAATCATGGATCGACTGCCTCTCTCACCCACCCCAACAGGAAACCATTCCCGCAACCCAGGCGTGTGCCCTGACCGGGAATCAAACCTGTGACCTCTCACTTTGCGGGGTAGTGCCCAACCAACGGAGCCATGCCTGGTCAGGGAGGATTTTCATTTTAATTTCAATTAAAATTTAACTAATGCATTTGTAAATTTCTGAGCCAGAAGGAGCTAACAAGATGGAGCAAGAGCGTGGATTTGAATCCGGGCTCGGCCACTTGTGAGCCCCGTGGCCTTGGACAGGTTATTTACCTTCCCTGAGCCTCAGTCGCCTGGTCTTTAAAATGGGAACAGTTCTTACCCTGCAGGCTTGTTGCGAGGACAGTGTGCCCAACGTGACCGACGCGGTGCCCGGCCCTTAGAGAATGCTGAGCACCCACAGTGACTACCACTGCCTGGCCCCAGAGGGCGGGAAGGGGCTCTGGATCAGGTCCGAATTGGGGTTGGCGACCTCAGGACAAATTCCTTCTCCCGAGCTCATCCCCCGAGAATGGTGCCGCCTCCTGCAAACGCCCTGACTCACAGAGCCGGCATGAGTGAGACCTGCTTTGCTCAGGCTGCTGGCGCATGGTTCGAGAATACCGGGCCTGGCCCCGGGCTGGGGAGGCTGAATGTGGAATTTATTAATTAAGGCTGCTGCTCCTGAGGCCCGAGAGTCGGGAGGCTGCAGTTTAATTACTGAGAGCAGAACGTGTGGAAATCCTCTCTGGTGCCCCAGTTTTGATGTCGCTAGGGGACCCAAGGTGCTGCCCCGAATGGGCCTTCCAGCCAGAGCTGCAGATCAGGCCTCAGTCGCACCTCCCTCTTCCTGGCTCTGAGCTCATTTCTGTCCACTCGGTTGTGTACTGGAGGGCAGGGGGAGAGCTCGGCCAGTTCTGGTGCGACTCCTGCGCCCGAGGGGGTCCCTAGGAGAAGGACCCCCTAGCAGGGTGGTCACAGGCGAGTTATTCTCTGCATCTCTGTGTCCTCACCTGTAAAAGCTTGTAGCAGAGACTGAAGGGATTCACATAAGTGAAGGGTTAAGAACAACCCTTCACTATTGGCCAGAACTATCGGCCTGGCCAATAGTGAGCTGGAAAATGTGCCAGCTATTTCTTTACAGTGGCCATCACAACCAGGAGTGACTTTGCCTCGTAGGGGACATGTGACAGCATCTTGGAGACACGCTTGGTGGTGTCCATGTCCGAACGACCCAATGTGTGGAAAACCTTTATAGAAATGTGTTAGAGCCAAACAGAGGAGGACACGGCCGGAAGCAGGATCTCAATGGCCTGAGAAAAGTTCCTCCTCGAGTAACAGTCTGCAGTTTATTCTACGCTTTTGGAACTAAGGAGGGAAAGCAAGGGGAGTTGCACGTGCGTGTGGGAGAAAGCAAGGTGGGGACCGGGTTACAGGACAGTCCCCAGATCCTGTGCCTTCTTGAGGGGGGTGTGGCCTAGGCACACAGAAATGCCGGACAGGGCTCGCTGGAGGTGAAGGTACGCTGAACAAGTGATAGGCCTGAGGCTCAACTCCCCGCTGTGACCTCTCCATCTAGGGATTTATGATCAGGTCCCCCGTGTGCTGACGCTCCTTAGAATGCCCTTTTCAGCCTCAGTTGTCACAGCCAAGGGGGTGGCGCTACTGGCATCTGTGCCACACACTGCATCACGATGGGAGTGCAGTCTGCATCAGTAGGAGATCCGATTGTGGGAATATCAGAGCGCACTTGTGCAAACCTAGATGGTCCAGCCCACTAACCACCTGGGCTGTATGGTGTAGCCCGTTGCCCTGGAGGGGAGGAAAAATAATTTTCCCTCTACCCTTCTGGGTTCTTGGCTGAGACATCTCTGTAGCAACAGACGGATTAACAAGAAAAAGCCCTGGCTGGTGTGGTCCAGTGGATTGGCCGCCAGCCTGTGGACCGAGGGCTTGCTGGTTCAATTCCCAGTCAGGGCACACGCCTTGGATGTGGGCCAGGTCCCCAGCAGGGGGCGTGCAAGAAGCAACCCATCAATGTGTCTTCTGCACATTAATGTTTCTCTCCCTTTCTCCCTCCCTTCCCTTCTCTCCAAAAGTAAATAAAACCTTTTTTTAAAAGAAGAAGGAAGAAAACAAACACATTTAATAACATGTATGTTTTCTGTATACATGGGAGAGACCTAGGAAAGCTGAGTAACTTACCAAATGGTGGGAGCCACCACCTAAAATACCACCTTCAGCTGGAGACCAAAGAAGGTGTTGGCAGTGTGGGTGTCGGTCGTGGGAGGAACCGGGAGAGCTCGGCAACCTGGGGTAAGGCTGCCCTGCAGATTGAAGTCCTCCGCACTGAGGACAGTTTCTGGAGATAAGGTCACCCCCTCTTCCTGGTACAAATGGAGATTTCCCTTACAAATAGCTGTGAATGTATTTTATAAAGAGTAACTTCAACTTCTACTTGGCTTTCAGAACTTCTCCCACGTTTGCCGTTTCTTAAAATGAATCAGCCTAAAATAATCCTCATGCCAGACAGACACATTTGGGGGTGACAGACTGTCCCCCATAGCTCCAAGGCTGCAGACCTGTTGCAGCCAGTCACTGTACTGACACTGCAGGCATTTGCAATGCCGCGGTATGTGTGTGATTACAAGGGCGACAGTGTCGCCCGGTGACAAGGAATTTTTTGGCTTCATTGTACCCTTAGGGGACCGTGTCGTATCCAGGCCTGGTGCTGACCGCAACAGGACTGTATTAGGTAAGGCCCAGGGGTCTGCCAGATATCCTACCCCACAGACCGGCGTCCAGCCCAAACCGTCAGTAGTGCCAGAGGCTGAGAAGCCAGGACTCGGGGCAGCATGTAGACAGCGTGGAGGTGAGGTCCTGTGCTCCCCAGTAGCTCTTCACCCCTCATCATTCCTCCCAGTTAGTGCGGAGCTGATGGGTAAACTGGGAGACAAGAAGGGAGAGAAGGAAGCTGGGCTATTTTAAAGCTTTGAATTCTTATTGTTTATTCCATTTTACCCCCATCCTGTAACAAAAGTATCTTTTACTTATATCGTCTATGTTGCCTTCTGCTCTCACCTCTAGTAACAGTAACTAGTATTTACTGAGAGTTTGCCCTAAGCCTGGTGCTTTCTTTGTGTGTTACCTCCCTTCATTTGCAGCCAGCACCTGAGGCGGTGCCATGGTCACCCCCAATCTGTAGACAAATAGACTGAGGCCTAGAGATGGGAAGGCTCCAAGTTGCCTAAAGTCTAACTCCCGGTCTTTTCCCTCAGTGGCTCCCTATCTCTGTTGATAGGAACGCACCTGCGGCCGCTCAGTCCGCACACCTGGGAGTCGCCCTCACACGCCCCTCCTCTCGCCCCCACACCAGGCTCGTCGGCCCCCCTGATGTCCTGCTGCTCGGCGCTCCACTGCTTCTGCCTGCCTTTTGCCTGAATTTCTGCCACGGCTTCCTTGCTGGTCTCCCCACTCCTGCTCTCACCCCCTCATCTTTCAAGTCGGGGTGGCCCTGCTCCACCCCAAGTCAGACAAGGCCATGGTGGCTGCCCTTTCCTCAGAGGTCAAGGTTGGGGTCTCACAAAGGCCTTCATGGCCTCCTGCTGCCCCCTCCCCTGCTCGCTACCCTCCCACTTCCTTTTCCTCAAAGTCATGAAAACAAACTTCCTCTCTGCTCCTTGCAAGGGCCTGAGCCCTGCAGACGCAGCAGGCTCATGTGGTGGGTGACGGAGTTAAAGCCCCTTGGAAGTGGGAGGAAGTTGTCTCTTTTCATCTCATTTTGAAGGAATGTGGGGACTTGGGTGGGGCCCTTGGCATTTGGATGCTTTGATACCTAAAGGAATAAGAGCAATAACCACTATGAACGTCGTCCCCACGGGGGTAGCCTGAGCCGGGAGAGGTGGCGGTGGCAGCTGGTGGCTTGTCCATCCCAGGGCCGGGTGTGCGCAGGACAGACACCTGGAGGCCAGAGTCATGTCCACCTGTAGGGGAGGCTTTTGAAATCTCACTTTTTATGGCAAACACTTTTTCCTCGGCCCCTTGGGTGAGCGAGCAGGCTTCTTCGCAGAAATCGTGGAAGACAGAGCATTCCAAAGCTCCCTCGGTCCTGTGTCTCTCACAAAACAGGTTTCTCCTCGGGTATTATCCTCAGAGCCCTGCCATGATGGCCGAGAGCTGGGAGGCCACCTTTAACCCAGGGGCTCCGTGGTCTGTGTGCCACGGCTGAGGAGGTGGTCAGGCAGCCGCCAGGTCTGCCCAGGTCTCCTCGGGGGCCCAGGCCTGCCTGCCCCTTGCTCCCACCCGTGGCTTTCCTTGGTCCATGCCTCCGGCAAAGCACCCTGCGGAGAGCCTGGGCGGTGTGGTTGTGTGGGGGAAGGAAAAAGACAGGAAGACACAGCATTCGGGTTCCTGGAAGGGGCGTGTTTGGCATGAGCGGACTTGTGGCCAGGCCAGCAGTTGTGTGGTGTGTGTGTTAGTTCATGTTTACATGCATCAAGCACAGACCACATGCACGTCTAAGCGCAGAGCAGGCGGAGCGCCCAGGTACCTGGGCCTGGCTCCGGTTGGGTTTGGTAGGTGTGCCTGCTCGCGCAGGTGCGGGACCCGCCCGTCCCAGAGTGACTCACTCCGCTCCGCACCATCTCCAGCGCAGCTCTCAACTGGCCTCAGTGACTAACCCAAGGGGAGGGGGTGCAGGTGACCTGCTTCGGCCGGAAATGACAGGCGAACACAGCTGCAGTCAGCACCTTACCCCAGAGGTGTTGGTGCAGGTTTCCTGGGCCGGCCAGACACACAGGTATTTCTGGACTGCAGCAGAGCCCGTTGCCGTAGCGCCCGGCCCGCAGTTCTGTATCTGTCAGCACGGGGCGTGTGCTCCCCGTGGGACTCTGGCAGCCAGTGGGACTCTGGCAGCCGCCGGGCCCTCCCGGCTCCTCCCATGACCGTGTTCTGTGTCTCCACAGGGCCGCACCCTCCTATTTCTCCCCGGCCTCAGCCCGCCCGTCACGGTTGAGCACCTGTCCTCCTGAAGCTGATTTCCACAAGCAGGTAAGGACCCCAGGGGAGGCTGTCTGGCAACTCGGCCACAGATTAGTGTCCAGGAGGGGCCGGGGGTGCAGGCTCACAGGCCGAGGGGGAGGTCAGTGCATCTCCATCGCCCCTAACAGAGCTCGCATCTGCAGATGGGTGGGTTCCTGCGGCGAACCCAGCGGCCCTGCTGGTTGCTTCTAGTCTGTTAGGATGTGTGCAGTCTCTGGGCTCACATTTGGTGGAGGTTCTGTGAATAGCACAGTTATATGGCGTTGTATCTATGCGCAGCGTAAACATCACACAGATGTAAACGTACATTTTAGAACGTGAGCATTTAAAATGTCACATTTTAAAAATGGACAAAACAAAGGACATGTTGGGACCCATAGGGCAAATGTGGCTTGTGTGGCTCTGGGACCCCCACTGCCTGGCCGGGCCTGAGGTCACTCAGTGTTTTCCCAGTGGGTACAGGATCACCCCGGCGTAGATGTGTATTTCAACTTGTGTAAATGTGGGTGATCAAACAGCGTTAGCTTCACTTTATAAATAAAAGTCAGTGCAGGGAGCTGTGTTTGTACTCAGGGCCATGGGTGCCTGGCAGAGGGAAGCCAGCTTCCGACGCTGTTTATCAGAATGGGTTTGCGGGCCTCGGCTGCGCTCAGCGGTGCTGCTCGCCCCGTCCCTCCCCGCTGCCTCCCCTCCTTCTGCAGTGAGATCGGCTGCTTCAGAGGGGGTCTCGTGCTTGTGCTAGTGCTAGTGCTCATAGAGGTCAGGTCCCTGCAGAGATGGGCAGGACATCTCCCAGAAAACGCAGTGGGGCCTCTCAGGCCATGGGCCCGTTTGTCCCTTCAGATCCGTCCTTGTGGTCGTGAGCCCCTTCCTCACGGTCCATTACCATCCGGCCTTCCTCCCCCCGGAGATGCAGGCTTGAAACCCGTAGGAGTGTGTGGGGTTCGGGGGGAGGGTACGCCGTGTGTCTGCAGTGAATGCAGGTACGTCAGTTTCTCTCCATTGCATTTGTCCCAGTCGGGTGTAATTTCCTGCAATCACCTCCACTTTTATCTATAGCACGATATGTAGCCGCAGGCCTCTCTGCCTTTGCTGTTCATTTGGGTGGTTGATCATTGTGTGTTTCTTTCCATCTTCTGCTCCTTAGCTCATCTGTGCTTTTCCCTAGTTAGCTTCCAGAATGTTATGTGTTAAGAGAGGGAGCAAGTTCGTTTCTGACTTGGGCAGTTAACACAGATTTTTCTTTGGATTTAGAATGGAAATGCCACCACGTTGGGTGCCGGGACCTGCGTGGGGCTGGCGGGGGGACCGTCATTGAGAAACATCGTCACCTTTGGCCCTAATGGAGGAGGACAGGATGAATAGTTGGTGTGTTTGAATTGGTTGCAGTTTGGACTTAGGTAATTTAAACACATTTTAATGGAGACAAGTTCTTGATCCCTACAGGGCAGAACAGGAATTCTCAGACAAAGATAATCTGATGCTTGTCAGCACTGTGATGAAAATTTAATAGCGCGTTTGCTCAGATAGGCAGCAAATCCAAACATACTTGAGCACCCTCGCAGCATACCAGAGACCAAAATGCCTGTCGTTTGGGTCATCACGATTCATTCTCTTCTCTTCAACTATTCGTTTTCTTCCCTCTGACACCCTCGGTGCCGATTCTGTGGAGAAATTTTGTAAACCAGCTGTGAAGCCCTAGCCCACCCAGATGTGAGCTCGGGGGACAGAGGGGCGCTCACTGGCCACGTGGTGACCCAGCCCCAGCCCCAGGTGTGCCCTCTGCCGGGAGACAGGGTGGAATCGGCTCTGGTGGGAGCTGGAAGATTATCCTTTTTGGAAATGATAAGAATCTTCTGACAAGAATCTTCCCTGGAGCAAAAAGAACCAGATAAGCACCAGCAGAGGCTGGGAAAGTGGGCTGACCTGGGAGTGACCTGGCCCCAGAGAGGGTTCAGGCACCCACAAAGCCCCGTGAGCCCCCATTTAGCGACACCATGTGAGAGTGGGAGGTTCCAGGGGACAGGCTGCAGCGGTGGAAGATAATAGGCAACACTGATGTGTTCGGGGCACCGGGGGTAAGATGTTGGACGGAGTAGAACTCTGGAAAATAGGCCACGTGTGAAATGACTCATGGGTGTGCGTGCACACACACAGCCCTGCTGGCTCAGCCTGCTGGTCCGTTGGAGGAGGCCTGGCTGCCCGGGAAGCACAGTGAGGAAGGGGCTCCCAGCTCCTGGGGTGTGCGGCGTCCAGGAGAGCTGGGCCCCCCAATGAATGACTAGATCCTGATGGACCTTTTGCAGGAGGGGAGGGGTTGCCACTGGTGCACTGGTTCTTTAGTTTCTAGCGACACCTAGTGGATGGTCACTTGTCTTCCACACCATCACGGGGAGAGAGAATTGGAAGATTCTGCACCTGGAAGCAGGAAGCCCTAACTCCCCGTTGGGAGGCTTCACGGGGCATTTCAGCCCCTGGAGAGCACAACAGCCCACAGCGCACAGACCACGTGGGAGCACGGGTCCTTCAGGAAAGCTCTGTCCAGTTCTGGAGCCCGGTCAGGCCCTTTGGTCCCTTTCAGCACGATGACGTTTGGCCCTGAATTGGTGTGGGTGTGGTGGGGATGAGGACGTTTTGACAGCACAGGCAGTATAGTCTCCATACTGCATTCAGCCCGCAGGGCCACGTCCCTCCGGCCTCAGGCACTGGCTGGGGCCGCAGGAAGACGGGGAAGCAGAGCACAGGTGCCGGCCCTCCCATCAGGCCGGGAGGAGACAACAGCAAGTGCCCCAACGTGGTGCTTTTAGGAAATTGGGACAAGTCAGGGCTGCGTGACTGAGAGGGCCGAGGGGGTGGTGCCGGTGCTGCTGTGGCCGGGCTGCGGGGAGAGGCTTCCTGGGAAGGCATCTTTGAGTGAGATGAAGGATTCAGTTCCAGATGCAGGGGACACTCGGTGCAAAGGCTGCTGGGAAAAGAGCTTCTCGGCAGGTTCCAGAAACAGATGGGGGCCAGGAAGGCAGAGCAGCGAGGGGAGGAGTGAGGAGGGGGAGGCAGGGCGGACCGTGAGGGCCTCGTGGGGTCCTGGTGAGACTGTGCGATGCATTTGGGGGTAGGTGGGGTGGGGAGTAGGGCCCTGTGTTCTGGGTTTTTTTTAGAGACCCTTCTGGTGGGGTGGGGCGGGGAGGCAGCGAGAAGGGGCCAGTGTGAGAACTGGAGCCCCAGTGCTGAGCTTTCCCATGCAGCTGTGCTGGGGGGTCAGGGTTGTCCCCTGCACCCCCCGCACCGGGCCCTGGGGTGGCAGGGCGGCCTCTGGTCCAGGAGCAGCCTTGCGGCACCTTCCCGCCCTTGCCCAGGCACCAGTTGTTAGTTAGACCCTTTACTGCTCCCGGAGGAGGGGACAGGAGCAGACAGTAGACTAGGGAGCCTGGGGCTCTGGTGGCAGAAGGGAAGGCCCTGAAAGGGGACCACGTCACATCAGGCATAGAGCCCCTACTGAAGCCCCAACGTGCCGGCTGTGGGCCTACTGTGTGGGCTTTTAGGGCCAGGGCCTCTGTTAGGCTACGGGGACTGGGTGGTTGACAGGGGAGCAGCAGGGAAGCTGCAGGTCAGGGCTCTGGCACATTTCTGAGGCTGCACCGAGAGCTGCCCTCCCCAGAACAGCCACCCTGCCTGGGAGAGCCTGCTGGTCCAGGGCTTGCTGGACCCTGAGGGATGGACGGTGTGAGGAGTGTTCTTGGCCCACCAGCTCAGTTCCCTCGGTCCTCCGAGCGAAGCTCCTTGGCACGGGGCCGCTGAGGCTCCACCCCCACCAGCTGCTGCGTTATTTCTGACTCATCCAGGAGTTACAAATATGTAATCTAAATCCCTCCACGCCTGGCTTCCTTTCCGCCGGCTCCTCCCGGAGGGGAAACCCTGGGACTTCTCTCCGGGGACCTTGCTGCAGGTGGGGTCCTCACTGCACCTGGACGCAGCTGCCACCACAGGAGCCACCCTCAGACAGACGGGGTGGGCTTGGGGGGTAGCGACAGGGACCATGGACGAGCGCCTCGGCCCCACCGTCCTGGGCCCTCCTGTCCCCATCGAGGGACTCCTTGGAGCCCAGCCCAGGAGCCGGCCTCTTGAACACGTCAGGGGCTTTGGCTGAGAGCGCTGCCTTGGGGTTTGGGGGCTGGGTGCTGATCTCACAGTGTCTCCAGCACAGGCCCTGGCCAGCTGCCTCTGACCACACTTTTGCTCCTGGGGAGAGTTGCTTGCTTTGAAAATCTGGGACACTTTGGGGGTCGTGTAGCACATCGCTTGTGGCTCATAGCAGGAGCCTTGCTGCGGGGGTGGCCAGAAGGTAGAGCCGGCCAGCAGGCCGGCCAGCTCGGGCTCCCTGGGCCTGGCAGCTCTTCACACAGAGGGGGCGCCAGCGCCTGCTGTGGGTCCAGGGATGAGTCCTGTTGGGGTGACTGGGAGTGAGGGGCAGCAGGAACCTCACCCCCAGCTCTGGGCTCTCAGAAGTGAGACCTTGCTGCACGGTGGGCTGCCTGGCCTGTCTCCACCTGGCCCTGACACCCGCTCATGTCTCTCCTTGCTCCACAGGATCCCAGAGCTGGCCAGGGGATGAACCGCGAGGGGGCTCCCGGGAAGAGTCCGGAGGAGATGTACATTCAGCAGAAGGTCCGGGTGCTGCTCATGCTGAGGAAGATGGGGTCAAACGTGAGTGCCTGTGGGGTGTCGAGCCACAGCCCCCAGGGAGGGTGCCGGTGCGGGCAGAGCAGAGGCTGTAGCCGCTGCCCGTGGCAGCTGCAGTCAGGGAAGGGGGATGCTGAGCCTGCGCTTTGGCTCTGTGGCTGGTTCATGGGGCACAGAGTCCAGTGTGTGAGTCCCAGGAGCACTGGCGGGGCAGTCTTCCTCCCTCCGGGCCAGGGGGGTGAGAGTTCTGACACCCGACCTTCCCTCCGTCTGCTCTCCCAGCCCAGCCTCCTCTCCCAGGGCCCGTCCGAGGGGCACTGGGCAGGACAGGCACCGGGAGGGCAGCAGACGTGCAGGAGCACTCCCCCAAGCTGGGCCTGCATCTGCCTGGTAACCCTGTGTTGCCCTCGAGTCCAGCCTCTGCTCTGAGTGGCAAAGGCCCCGTGGGCCGTTTCCGGGGTGGAAGGGGTGCTCGCTCCGTGACCGAGGGGTCAAATCTCCAGGGAACAGAGGAGGAGGCGCCTCCCGGGGATCGAGCAGGCCTTGGCAGGTGCCTTCAGAAGCGGTGGCTCGCCCCTCACCTGCAGCTCTCTCGCCCTCGCAGCTGACGGCCAGCGAGGAGGAGTTCCTGCGCACCTACGCGGGGGTCGTCAACAGCCAGCTGAGCCAGCTGCCACAGCACTCCATCGACCAGGGTGAGTCCGCCGCCTGCGGCCGGCCACACCCTTCCCGGAAGCATGGCTGCAGCCCTTCCAGATGGGGGTCCGTGAGAAACAAGGAGGGCCACAGCCCTCTCCCACCCTCGGAGCTGAGCCCTAAGTAGCGGCTACATCAAGCCAAGGGGCCCCCGGGTGCCTCCTGCCTGGTCTCAGCCTGGTGGGGTCTGTCTCTAGGCCTGGGGGAGGCAAGAAATGGAGGCATCTGGGGGCCCCTTCACTACAGAGGCTCTGATGGTTGCATCCCTCAGCCTTTGGCCTGCCCCCTGCCCCCCCAGCACCTTGTCCAGGGTTAGTGAACCTGGCCTTGTGTGCTAGGCCTGGGGACAGGCTACCCAGTGGCTGGGGTGCTCCTGGCTGTGCCCAGCCGGGAGGCCCACTGTGTGCCCTTGGGAGTTATTTCTTTTTTGGGTGTCCTCACCCAAGCACAGTAGTGGTAGTGGGTGGCATCTGCGTGTGTTATCTAGAGCATGTGCTAAGTGCTTGATGCATTTCATTTAATTGCAGATCACTACTGTTTGTATTACTTGCAATAAGCTGGCAAGGCAACTGGAGTTCAGATGCAACAAGTCACTGCCCTTGGTCGTGCAGCCAGTTACCAGGGGGCACAGGGTGCAGACCTGCAGCCTGACTCCGGACCTGGGTCTTGGGCCCGTCCCTGTGTTCTGGAGTGGCCGAGGCTGCTGGGGGTCCTCCTTTCTGGAAGGCTTATCCTGATTCTTCAGCCCAGTTTCCTGACCAGCGCCTTCTAGTTACTTTCTTTTGTTCTTATTGCACTTAGTTTGAACCATTGGTTATGAAATAGTGTAGACACGTCCGCTGGGTGGGTGGGGGCTCTGCAGGCAGAGTGCTGGGGGTGCGTGTGCCCATCCTTGAGGCCAAGGGAAAGAGCAGGTCTGGCCCACAGGGCTGCTTGTCTTGGAGTTGCCCTTGTTCTCCTGGATGTCACAGGGCTCTGCCCTGGCTCAGGGCCCAGTTCCCAAGCTCTGACGCTGGGTGTGACCAGGCCCATGCACCTAACTCAGCAGAAACGTACAGGACGTCCCAGCGGCTCAACAGTCGCTCGCCATTGGGCCGCCTGTTCTGTGCCAGCTGCACTGTGGGCGGAGCTGGGAGGGAGACAAGGGGTGTGCAGTCGGCCCCTGCCCCTCCTGGCGTGTTTTCCGGGAGCACACTTCTCTCCTAGGCTGACCTGGATTTCTAGCCCAGGCCCTTCTCCCCAGCAGCTGAACCATCTCTCCCTGAAACCCTCACAGTTCTGTGTCCCTGGCCCCTTATCTGTCCTCCTACCCTGGTCTGGGGTCACTGAGTTAACCTGAATTTGAGCTGGGGGGCAGGGGCGTGGGATAGGAATACCTGCAGTTGAATGCTCTTAATGGAAAAATCAAGGTAAGCTGTACAACCATATGTCAGCATGGAAAACAGCACAGACACCCCTCCCCCCACACTCACGCATGTGTGTGTACAAAAAAAGCTGAAGAAAAATACACAGGCTGTTCATAGAAAATTTTGATAGAGTGTAAAACCATATAAGGGACTTCCACTTTACAAGTCACATGTTTTTGTTAAACTGATTTTTTTTTACATTGCATATCCATTTCTTTTGTAATAAGAGAAGTTTCAAAAAGTATTTTTGTGAGAACTCTTTATCTTGCTCAGCTAAAGCAACAACTGAGAATACAAATGAGCTCTTGGGAGTGGTTTAAGGAGGTCACATTGACCTCACCTGGCCTGAAACTGCTCAGCAGTCAGGAGCGAGCCACAACTGTATGGGTGGGACCGTGTGGGTCCCAGGGTCTGGGCCCTTCGGAGTGCAGGGTGTCCTTGGGCCAGCCGGGCCAGCCTCACACACGCCTCTCTCCGGGAAGCAGGCTTCTGGTGCTGACCCGGGAGGCTGGTGGCGGGTGCAGTTCTCCACTGCTGGGTGCCCTGCAGGCTGCCCCTCACCTGCGTGGTCACCTCATGGGAAGGCATGTTCTGCAGAAAGCCCCACGAATTCCTGTGGACCCTGAGCTGGAGATAGGCTGGCAGCTGAGCCTGGAAGAGCTTCACGCACGTGCTGTTATTCTCTGTGGACCCAAAGGTGCTAAAAACACACAAGAACAACCAAAGAGCAGCAGGTCTAGTCTCTCCCTCGGTGCTCCCAGGTGCAAGCCCAAGGGCAGAACCTTACGTTTCTGTCCTTACCAAGTGACAGTCAGCTAATATTCTAGTCTGCCTACTTTTGCGTTGGCAGAGACAACCTCAGCTGCTGCCACAGGGCATGCTGCTGTCAGAGGTTCCAGAGCTGCCCAGGTAGCAAGAGTTCTGGCTCACTGCTTCCAGTGCAGGGCACCCCTGCACGAAAGACCCCCAAAGACCTGGGAGCAGAAGCCTGGTGTGAGTGCCTCCTGCCACCAGGTGGCGCTGTCTCTCAGCATATGCCCACACTCCCTCCGGGATGCCTGCAACCTATTGCTGTTCCAGCTCCCCTCGGCAGGGGGCCTGAGGCCACCTGACCCACCGTGGACCAGTACTTGCTTTAATCTTGGGGTCCTACCCACAACCTCCAGACCCACACGCACTTCCTCTCTGTGGCATTCCTCACCCACTGCAATCTGATGCTGCACCCCACACTTGTTCTCCTGGCCTCCTTCCTCCCCCTTCCGCCCTTGCCAAACTTGTGTCGAGAATCTGCTGGGTCCAGGCAGGTGCTGGAGACCCTAGCACGTGGGCCCTCCCCCCCCGGGGCTCACTAAACAGTTCCAGCAGAGAGCTCCAGCCGCACCCCAGTACTGAACTGAACGGTGGGCATGCCTCCGGAAGCCCTGCTTTTCATTTTCGTTCCTTGTCTTGCATGATGCACACATCTCTCTCTCTCTCCCCTCCCCTAAATTTCCACCTCTCTCTGCTCACGCCCCCAGCGAACAGCCTCTTTCCCTTCATCACGCTGGTCTCCCCCACCTTGGGCCTCTCCACGCTGCTCAGCCTCATGCACTCTCTCTGGGAGCTCACCAGTGCGGCGACTTCAGCAGGTGTGCACTCGCAGCCCAGCCCCCGCTGCCGACCCCAGAGCTCCGTGGGCAGCGCTGTGGCCTCACACTGATGTCTCCCACTCAGCAGCCCCAGGGTCACAACCTTCCTCACCTGCATCCTCTGTAGTGACACACATGCCACCCCCGTACCCCGTGTCCTCCTCTCATCCCCACGTACCTAGTTAGTACCGAGCCTTTTGAGCCTCCCGCCTAATGCTCCTGAGATCTGCTTCGTCCTCCATTGCGGTGGGAACCCCCGCTGTGGTCTGGGCCCAGGTTGGTTCTTGTCTCTTTTGCTGCAACAGCTGCTCACCGGCGCCTTGACTTCTTACTGCCCCCACCGCGCACTTTCTACCCACGGCCAGGGGGACTTTTGAAGGCCACATCCGCAGGTCTCTTCCTGACTCAAACCCTTTCAGTGGCTCTCTTCTGCTTCGGGATAGAATAGCCCCCTTAGCATGACAAGCAAGACCCCCTGCCCACCTGCAACACAGGGACCTCAAGCACCATGAACAGCACAGTGAATGGCTTTTAGCTCCTGCCTCAGGCCATGCGCATCACGCCCTCTGCCTGTGCACTGGACTCCTCCGCCCCCGCAGGCCAGGCGCTCCTGTAGTTTCCATCACACGTATTCCTGGGCTGTGCTGCTCCCACACTGTCTCCTCTTCTATCTCCCGACCAGCTCTGAGCTCCTTGTATTTGTGGGGCCCAGACAGGCAGAGCCTCGGAGCCAACCCTCTGAGCACTCTCCCCTGGCCCCTGACGGTGGCCAGGCAGAGCTGACTTTGACCCGAAGGAAATTGGTGCTTCTCCAGGAAGGGCACCTTGCCGAGAAGGCCTGGCTGCAGCTTCCGAAACCGGCGGGACGGAATGTCCATCCCGGCCTGTCCCTGCCAGTGCTCCCCTCCCTGTCGTACAAGCTGACCCTTTGTCCTGGCCATAAAGTAAGGCACAGTCATCGGAGAAAACCAGGGAGAGAGAAGCTGCCGAGAAGCTTCAAGGACCAGATCCTGGGACGTAACTGTAACCTCTGTTACCTTAAGTTTAATTTCCTGTCCGTCTTTAAAACACGCACCTAGTTCCATCATAAAGTCGGGACCGTACACTGTAAACATTCTACTATCCATGTGAACATCCACTTATTTTTTACTTATGATAATTTTACAATGTTCTTCAACAACTTTCAGGAAAACATTTTAGCAATTGCAGAATGTGCAGCCGTATGGCCCTGCCGTATACATCTATGTATCTTTTTTCTCCCATCCTTTATTGTTCCACATTCGTTTCTCATTTTCGCTGTTAATCACGATAACAGCAGACATTCACTGCGGTCCTCCTCTGAGCCCAGTTTCTTGTCCAGAGTTTTCCCGGTGGATCCTCGTGCCAGGCCTGTGAGGCGGGCGCTGTCCCTGGCCCACATTCAGGATGAAATGACAGGCCGGAGAGGCAAAGCGACGAGCCAAAGGTGGAGGGACAGAGCCCGTCAGTGTGGGGCCTGGGTGGGCCGTGCGTTGCACACCCTGTGTGTAAATCTTCCTTTGCTTTAAGGTAAACTCTAGGAGCAGCTCGCAGGCCATGTGCATTTTTAAGCAAAGCAGCATTTTACTTAACAGACAGTGGGGATTTGGGCAGTTAACATGGAATTTTAGGAGGGCACAGAAAAAATTGGGAAGAGTCTACCACTGCTGTTGTTTTGGGCCCTGTAGTTTCGAAGGTGCTGGTTCTCTGAGAGGACCAGTGTCTTCCTGCCCCGGCACCACACAGGGGACAGGGCACCCAGCCAGTGCCAGTCCCGGGTCCCCAATGTACTTTGCAGAGGCCCCCCCATAGCCAGTCACCTGCAGAACTGTCATCCTTGAGTGCTGCTTTGTAGAGGCCCCTGTCCAGGTGTTCTGGGGCTGTAAGAGACCCATCTCGACATGGCCCGTTTTGCTAAGGAAGCTCTTGTCCCTTCTCTTCCCCTCT